GCTCGGGGGAGGAAAAAGAGTTGAGATTAGTGGAAAAGTATACAAGTCAAGTCTGTAACTAAAAATCTTGAATGGCAAGAAGGGTGGAGTTTACAGGAGCTCTGATGAATTTTAATTAAGGACAAAACATGCCAAGATTTTGTTGTAAATGGAGGCGAGAAGAGAAGTGGATTGGAGGTGGGTGAGGTTGAAAATAAACCCACTGGAGGTTAAAAGGAAGGATGATGAGTGTCTAAAGAAGGTTGCAGAATGCAGAGGAGAAGACAGGTTTGAGACACGTGAGATACAGCCTGTGTAACTGAACACGGGGACCAGGGCTTCAGAGGAGGTGGGAGGGAGGTGTTTAGCAACGTGGGCCATTTGGGACAAGAAGCCTGGAGACCAGTCTTTCTCTTCGACTTCTTTCCCTTTCTTCTTTTGTGATATATTTTAAGGTGCCCCTCACCCATGACCCTGACACAGAATCATAGCCGTAGAGGGATTAAATATTACCAAGGAGGAACACAGAATGTGGGGTCCTCATAGAGTTTCTCATTCAGTAGATTTGGCAATAGCCCAGGCTCCAAGTTCCCAAGTGATGTTGATGCTACTGGTTCAGGGACCAGACTTTAAGGACCATTCTGTGGCTTTGACATTTGCCATTTCTTTGGCATCCTGTGCCATCATTTTCCTGAAAGTCCTCCTCTTATACCGGGAAAGCCTGGGGCAAGAATATAAACTGAAGCCCACCCGCCCGCTCTGTGCAGTTTCATGTCTCGGAGTTTCACACTGAAGCAGCAGCATGAGAAGTGGGACCCCTGCTTCTCTTCCTACCAGAGCGCAGTTCTGGGCTACATGGGGTGGCTCCTCTCCTAAATGCTGACCAACTGTGGAGATACCCAAGCCTGCTACTGAGGCCCCCGTCACCCCCAAGCCATCTACCACCAAATAGCTGACCCTTCATCACTCCTCAGATAAAGGGATCATCCCACAGAAGGACCAGAGGGAGAGGCCCATGCAGGCCCTTGAAGCAGGCTTAGACTATGAGGGTTAAAAAGAAATCCCAAGGTCCCAAGAGGTAAAGTTTTGGCTGTGAGGGGTACCCAGGATCCAGGTGAGTGGATCTCCTCAGTCCTGGCACCATCACCCCTGGAAAATGGCACAGCTGGAAGAGGATAAACAGGACCTTGTGAAACACAGGCCCAGGCCAAGGACCCTCTGACTTCGGGCTAAGGGCAGTTCACTTCCCTAACCATTCTGGCTGCAAGTGCTCAGCTCCTTACTTTGGCTCTTCTTTTCCTCAGCTACTAAGCCTTCAAATGCTTATGCTCCTCAGAGTTTTGATCTCTTAGAGTTAAGGTTCTTAACTGGACTGGTGACTATAGATGGGCTTTGGAAAAATATATGCAACTCTGAGAAGGAATTCAAAATCTTCAGAGTCTGAGTGTGTGTTTCTCTGAGAGGAAAAAGCTATCATTGTCATTGTTTTTTCAAATGAGAAATACTTGTGATCACATACACACCCACCCCCGCAAAGATTAAAGACCCCTGCAAGCTAGAGAGCCGGATGTCTGGCTTCTGAGCCGTGACCCTTTCTGTGGTAACGATGAAAGATTTTTTGTACAGAAGTGTGCCTAGTGCCACACTGTGGAGAAAGGAGGCAAGCACAAGACCGGCCCAAATCTCCATGGTCTATCTGGGTGGAAGACAGGTCAAGCTGTTGGATTCTCTTACACAGATGCAAACAAGAACAAAGGTGTCACCTGGGGAGAGGATACAGTGATGGAGTATGTGGAGACTCCCAAGAAGTACATCCCTCGAACAAAAATGATCTTTGCTGACATTAAGAAGGGAGAAAGAGGAGACTTAATAGCTTACCTCAAAAAGCTGCTAATGAGTAATAGCCACTGCCTTATTTATTACAGAACAGTTTCATGTCTTTTTATATGTAACATAATTTAATAGATCTCATACACCAGAATTCAGATCATGAGTGGCTGACAGAATATTGCTGTTGGACAGTCCTGATTTAAGTAAAATTGGCTTATCGTTAAATGGACATCTTTTTTTTTCAAGTTTGATAGTAATTCCAGTTCAGTAAATACTATCACTGTTCTCCCTTTCTAAATATATGGCTGGACTTGATTAGAAATGTTCCACTTTTCACAAAGATGGAGAATGTTATCTCAAAACCTACTGAAGGTTGGTTTTACATTTAGGTTTATATAACTGGTTATGTGAGTATGTTTAAGTACCAGATAAATCCTTCCCTGTCTCAGAACCAAGCAATACTCCTGTTTCAGTTCGTTTATTAGCCTGTTAAAGGCAGCGGTTGAACATCAGGAAGGAACATCCACATTTTTTTATCTTGACTATGTCAATTTAATTAGAATTCCCAAAATCTAAAAACTGCTTCCTTTTACTTACTGAAAGGCATTTTAGTGTGGTATATGTATAATAAAGTGTGGTGTATGTATAAATAAAGAATATTTAACACTTCTCACAAAAAAAAAAAAGAAAAACTGCAATATGGACTATTTTAGGTTAGGTATATGTTGATGAAGAGAAGCTTAGTTTGTGATCTTCATTCTATTCTAAAGAGATTGCAACCTTTCCTTAGAACCCTAAACTGGAGATCAAGCTAGTTTCAGGCTTTTTTCAATCAATATTTTTCATATATCATATCTTGAAATAGAAAATTGAACATATTATCTCCCCTAAATATGTTCTAGTCTTCCATGTTTTCAGTGCATTGCCTCAAAAAACACCCAATTACATAAATCAGAACAACTCTATCAGCCATCCTAAACCTCTTTCCCTAACATCCTACATTCAGTGAGTCCTCTATCTACTCATATTTTTCTCAGTATCACTTTTACCTCTTTACTCGAATTTGCCAGTATACTAACTCCATTAAAAATTAATTTGGTCCCTCACTCAGGAAATTTTGAGTGCTTAAAATGATAGTTTCCTACCCCTCACACAAAATGGGGTGTAAAGAGGATCAGGAAGGTCAAGGGGAACAAAGGAATTTCAAAATGTTCATCAAGTAATTTCTGCATGATGGCTAAAACTAAACCTATGATGAACCCTTGAAACTAAATGCAGTGATGCAGCAGCTGGGCATGGTGGTGCACACCTGTAATGCCGATGCGCAGGAGGCTGAGGCAGGAGGATTGCTGGGAGTTCAAGGCCAGCCTGCCCTACAAAGTGAGACCCTGATCCCTGGCAACACCCCCCCAACCAAATAAATAAATGCAGGGATTCATTTAAAGCTTTTTCTTTGATTCTATTATTGTATTTCTTGTTGTGGATTTTTCAAGGCTAGCAGTCCTCAAAAGTGATAATATTCCTATTTCTGGGTCATTATAACAGGTTCAAATAATAAGGCTGAGGTCATAAATGGTGCATTTGATATGCCATTAGGACACAGAAAAAAAAGTCAATGCACTGTAGATGACATTAGAACTGTTCATTTTCCACTCATTCTAATGCCGCGTTTAACTGTTCTGAAGTAAAGGTAGACGTAGTGGACAGCATTACTATCTTGTATGAAATATATTGGGAAGTGCTGTGCCTAAAGAGTGTCTGCAAGAGAAATGGTCAGTTGGTCTAAATGGTCATTTGGTCCATTAAAATTTTTTCTTCTTTGAAATCTTTGAAATTATGTAGAAGATATACTGTATTTATCTGCATTTAGAAACTGTTATTAGAATTGAGTGCAAATACTTCATAATGTAAGTATGTAAAGTGGTCTGAATTTTACCAAGGAGTGTTCTGTGAAAAATACGGTCACCTGATAAGTCACTGTGAACTCTGACACCAGTTGTGATTCTCCAAGTCTATGGACGGTGAGCTACTCTGGGAATAGTGGTTTCTGAATCAAAGAATGTCACCTACACCTTGATGACACGCAAACCACACAGATAATTGACTTCTCAAAGGCTGAAGTTAAAAACAGAATGTTTGTGCTTGTTTTTTAGTTCAAACATCTCAAATGGACATAAGGATAGAAAGCTAAGTGTGACAACCAGTTTGTTGAAACTTCTATGATCACTTACCTCACAGGACACTTTTCAGGGCAGCCTCACAGCGAGCGGCGTTTGGAAAACATCCAGGCTTCTCTGCCTCATTGTTATCCTCCACCTCACAGAAATTTAAAATAGGGCTCAGAAGGACTAAATAGTAGTTTTAGAAAGGGTCAGAAATTGAGTTTTGACCACAGATAGACATACTCTGAGGGAAGCCTCAAACTTCTCGGCGCTGGGAGGCGCCAGACTCTCGGTTTTAAAGGCTCAACGACCGGACGTCCTCTTGCCCTCAACAAAGATGGCGCTGGATGATGTGAGCCAATCAGGTTGCTCTGTATACGGGCCTTGTTTCACTTTCTCCTCCTGGTAGGAGCCGCCAAGAGCTCTGACGTAGCCAATCGGTGAGGTCTCCCAGCTGCGTGCGTCTGACGACAGGTGAAGGGGTGGAGTCTGATTGGAATTTTGGCGGGTTCGGCTGTTGACTGGGAAGCGGTCCCCGTACCGGGTAAGGAGCGCGGGTTCTGGGCCTGCGGACGTCGCTGGCGCGGCTTTGAGAGGATGTGAAGTATCAGAGGGCGAGAGACGCGGAGCCCCTGAGGGTGGGTGGGCGAGATCGGAAGCCCGG